TTGCAGCTAAACATAAAAAAAAAAAAGATTCTGGCAACCGGACTGATTGTCAACTGGCAAATAGAGGGAATGACAGACTTTGCATTTCTAGGTGCAAAGATTACTACAGACGCAGACTGCAGCCAGAAAATCAGAAGATGTTTACTTCTTGGGAGGAGAGCAATGACCAATCTCGATAAAATAGTGAAGCGTAGAGACATCACACTGGCAATGAAGATCCGCATAGTTAAAGCAATGATATTCCCCGTGGTAACCTATGGATGTGAGAGCTGGACCATAAGGAAGACTGAGTGAAGGAAGATATATGCTTTTGAACTGCGGTGTTGGAGGAAAGGTCTGAGAGTGCCTTGGACCGCGAGAAGATCCAACCAGTCCATACTTCAGGAAATAAAGCCCAACTGCTCATTGGAGGGAAGGATATTAGAGGCAAAGATGAAGTATTTGGCCACATTATGAGAAGAAAAGAAAGCTTAGAGAAGACAATGATTCTGGGAAAAATGGAAGGAAAAAGGAAGAGGGCCCGACCAAGGGCAAGATGGATGGATGATATCCTTAAAGTGACTGGCTTGACTCTGAAGGAGCTGGAAGTGGAGACGGCTGACAGAGAGCTCTGGAGTGGTTTGGTCCACGGGATCATAAAGAGTCGGAAGTGACTGAACAAATAAAAAACAAATAAAGCAATCTAAAATAGCAAGATTTTTGTTTTATTTTTTTATGATAACAAGCCAATTAAAAAAATACAGTTCTGCTAACCATAGTTCAGTATCTGAGCACCCGTGAATCAAATGCTAGTTCATTGTGATGAGATTCTATCAAATAGCAATTAGAAATATCCAACAGAATCCAATGAAAGAAGATTTTCTTAATTTCTGTCTTTTCTGAATATTCAGTTGGTTTGTCCTCATCCAGTCCATTATTGACAGTAGGTAGACACACTGTTTGGGGAGACATGCAGCTTGTGGCAGAATGAAAATCACACATAGTTCACATCTTCACCAATCCACACACTGCCTTGCTAGAGAAAAGATATGCCATGCAAATGTTCAGTAAAGAATAAGCTGTGTACTCTTTGTTATGCAGAGCAACATATATAGTCATGCGAACAGTTGCATTGACTCGCAAAATGTCCTTTGAGAGAGATTCAAATGGTCCTTGAATGTCCATGTGAAGGATCTTCTTCCAGCAGCTCAAAAGCAGAAAATTATACTACTTGTCTTGGCAAGCTCCTACACAGAAAACCTAAACATGTAACTGTTGCCAGAACTCCCAGGCTCAGCTAACACCACGGGAATAACCCAACCAATCAGCTTAATGCATTGCATTTTTCAGTTAACACACACACCAACTGATTTTACATGCTTAAACACAGCTGTGTTGAACTTGCAGCCAAAAAGACTCCATTAGTGAAGTCTCTGCAATGCCTACTAACACAGAAAATCCCTTATCAAGTTGCTTATATTCCACAAGCCGATCTTCATCATGTACAGTAATACTCTCAGGATAGTAAATAACTAAAGAATCAGAGGAACTTTAAGAGGCATCTATTCCACCCTAGGGAGACAATGTGATATAATGGTTTGAGCACTGGACTATGATGCTGGTGAACAGGGTTCGAATCCCCACTTAGCCATGAAACCCAGTGTGTCGCCTTGGGCAAGTCACATTTCCTCAGCCTCAGAGGAAGGAAATGTAAAACCTTTTCTGAACAAATCTTGCCATGAAACAGCTGTGATAGCTGGGTTGTTGTAGGCTTTTCAGGCTATATGGCCATGTTGTAGGGGCATTCTCTCCTGACGTTTCGCCTGCATCTATGGCAAGCATCCTCAGAGGTAGTGAGGTCTGTTGGAACCAGGAAAAAGGGTTTATATATCTGTGGAATGACCAGGGTGGGACAAAGGACTCTTGTCTGCTAAAGCTGTGATAGCTTTACCTTAGGTTGGCCATAAGTTGGAAACCACTGGAAGACAAACAACAATTGGATGTTTGTTGTTGTTGTTGTTGTTGTTGTTGTTGTGTGTCTTCAAGTTGTTTCCAACTTATGGCCAACCTAAGGTAAAGCTAGTGCTAAAGGACCCCAGGAAAAGGTTGTGCAACCTGTGTTTAAAGATATTATAGAATGTAAGACATCAACTGAAAATTTAAAGATATTATAGAATGTAAGACATTAAAGGCAGTTGCAGATTTAAAAAAACAATTAAAAAAGAAGAAAAGGGACATTAAAAAATCCCCACTTTTACACCAGATTAGCACCAGTTCCATAATGTTGTAGACACATTGCAAAGAGTTCTTCGGCTCTTTGCAATAGAGCTTGCTAAACTGCTAGGATTCCTTTGTTGAAATACCCTTCAGTCAATGAAAACTTACGCTACCAGCTTCTTTCTCTTAGTCTCAATGATGTTACAAGATCCAATTTCATTGTTAGAGTTGTCAGAGGGAAAACTGGAGAGGGCACTGGCATCTCTAATAATTGTGTGGAAGAGGATTTTTCAACAGGTGTTGTTTGTGACCTGGCTGCATACCTGATGGAATTCTCTCTTCTGCACAGCCATTAAAAGTATAGGAGCCACCTACAGTTTCCACACATTATTTTGCTTGTACAACACCTGAGGGTTTCCTGAGTTGTGACGCCTCTGGCTCAGGGAGAATGGAGGACCCATCTACATGGTCATATGATCCAGTTTCTGAATACAGATTATCTGCTTTGAACTGGATTATATGAGTCTACATTGTCATATTTTCAAAAAGTTTCCCCTTGACATCAAGTCCAGTCGTGTCCGACTCTGGGGTTGGTGCTCATCTCCATTTCTAAGCCGAAGAGTCAGCGGTGTCCGCAGATGTCTCCAAGGTCATGTGGCCAGCATGACTGCATGGACCGCAAAAGCAGTACCTATTTATCTACTCACATTTGCATGTTTTCGAACTGCTAGGTTGGCAGAAGCGGTGACTAACAGCGGGAGCTAACTCCACTCCCCGTATCTGAACCGCTGTTCAGCAGCTCAGAGGTTTAAATGCCTCCACCACCAGGGGGACCTTATATATGACTATATTGTACTATATTATTATACTATAATACATATAATATACCAATATGCTGATGAGAATGTAGTCTGTGTGCAGTCCAAAACACCTGGAGGGCCCGTTTGCCCATGCCTGCCCTAGCCCATCACATGCCAGATTCTCTGGTATGGCCACCTGGCAGGTCTGACTCCTCCATTACCCACCTTCGATGGTGCCGCCCTATCTCCATCGACCACTGTTAAGAGCTTAGGTGTCATCCTGGATTCACAGCTGACAATGGAAGCTCAGATTGCTGCTGCCAGCAAACAGGCCTTTTTCCATCTACGACAAGCGAGGCCACTGGCACCCTACCTATCTGACGAGGCTCTGGCAACTGTCATCCATGCCACGGTCACATGGCATGGCTGGACTATTGCAACGCCCTGTATGAGGGCCTTCCGATGTCTACGACCCGAAAGCTTCGTATTGTTCAGAATGCGGCAGCCAGGCTACTCACAAGAACGCCCATGAAATGCCATATAACACCAGTGCTGCAACATTTACATTGGCTTCCAACTGAGTACCGTGGCCTGTATAAGATGCTAGTTCTGACCTTTAAAACTCTTTACGGCCAGGGTCCATCGTACCTTAGGGACCGCCTCTCCTTCTCCCATCATCGGAGGTCGCAACGACCAGCCCAACGTGACTTACTCCATATACCGGGTCCTAGAGAAGTGCACTTGGAAAGGACCAGACGCAGGGCTTTTTCTATTTCTGCCCCTGCCTTGTGGAATTCCTTGCCGCCCTACATGAGAGCCATGCGTGACTTAGGGCCTTTTACTCTCGCACTTAAGACCTGGCTTTTTACTAGAGCATTCGATCTCTGTTAATTTTTAATTTTGTATGTATGTATTTTATCTTTTATAATTTAGCTGTAAATCGCCTAGAGCATTCTCGGATGGAGGGCGATTAATAAGTTATTAAATGATGATGATGATGATGATGATAAACTACTATGCCATCAAAACATGACAATATCACAAAATCTGACACTGTTTGCTTTACAGATTGGTTGTGCTGGTGGGATTGTTTGCAGGCTATTAGGAATGGTGAGAGTTGAAGTCCAGAACACTTGGAGGGCCCAGATTTGGAGGGCCCAGATTTTCCCATGCCTGCTTTATACTAACCACTTGCAGCCTGAGCTAACTGGTAAAAGGATAGAGATGACTAATGTGGTAGAGTCTCCTCTGGAGGTTTGGAAGCAGAGACTGGATGGCCATCTGCCGGGAGTTCTTTGATTGTGTATCCTCGCATGACAGAATAGGGTCACTAACTGGTAACAAGATGTGGTAGAGTCTCCTCTGGAGGTTTGAAAGCAGAGACTGGATGGCCATCTGCTGGGATTGCTTTGATTGTGTATCCTCGCATGACAGAATAGGGCCTCCAACTGGTAAAAGGATGAGGATGACTAAAGCGGAAGAGTCTCCTTCTCTGGAGGTTTGGAAGCAGAGCCTGCGCGGCCATCAGCCGGGAGTGCTTTGATTGTGTATCCCTGCATAACAGAATAGGGTGTCTAACTGGCAAAAGGATGGGGATGACTAACATGGAAGAGTCTCCTTCTCTGGAGGTTTGGAAGCAGAGGCTGAATGGCCATCTGCCGGGAGTGCTTTGATTGTGTATCCCTGCATGACAGAATAGGGTGTCTAACTGGTAAAAGGATGGGGATGACTAATGTGGAAGAGTCTCCTTCTCTGGAGGTTTGAAAGCAGAGGCTGAGTGGCCATCTGTTGGGAGTGCTTTGATTGTGTATCCCTGCATGACAAAACAGGGATGTCTCTGTCTAGGATTCTGAGCTAGAAGGAGCCCTCCTTCGCGGGGCAGCCTAGGGAGAGGCAATCCTGGGCGCCGCGGGGCAGACCAGGCTGGGGGAGAGAGGGGTCCTTCTTCTGCCGGCTCTGCCCGCCCCTCGGCCTCTCTCCGCCTGCGCAGCCGCGCCTCCTGGGTGGCCCCGGCGCTGGATGGCGGCTGCGCGTTGCAAGCGTCGGCCTCGCGGAGCCTCAAGCGGGTGCCTTGGTTGGCTGGCTGGCTGACGCGCGAGGCTCGCCCACTCGCAGCGGCCTTCCGGGGAGAACTTCTCAGCCGAGCCACCGGTGAGTCGGCGCTGCAGATCCGGCGGGAGGTTTACCGGGCTGGGAAGGGGGGGGGGGGTGGGAAAGCGCGCGCTGCGGCGCATGCGCGGGGTCGCCTCTGCCCAGTGCTCCCGGGTTAGTTAGTTGTTGGGGAGGGGAAGCTTTTTGCAAAAAAGAGGCAAGTTTTGCTCTTTGAAAGGAGGAGAACTTTCCGAATTGCATTGGTAAGCTCTCCCATACACTTTGCAGGAAAGTTCATAGAATCATAGAAGATGGGAAATATCTTTCCCCCTCCCCCAAAAAACCATCCAGTTCCAAGTTTCCAACCCCGTCCTGCCATGCAGCAATACACAATCAAAACACTCCCAACAGATGGCCATGCTTTAAAAAACCAGAGGGTTTTTTTTAAAAAAAAACTGCATTACAACCCAGTATTTAGCGTTGATTTAGCTTTGGAGTCCCACGTGCAAGGCTGGAAAGTTGCACCTGTCTTTTCCTATACATTTCGATGGTATCTAAACAATATATATAATGTAATATAATATATTGTGTGTGTGTGTGTGTATATATAAATAATATTTATAATATTATAAAGTAATGCAGTATAATAGTACTACTAATAATATGATATAATTATATATTTATACTAGCTGTCCCCTGCCACGCGTTTCTGTGGCCCAGTCTGTATATATGTGTTTTGTGTGTGTATATATGTGTTTATATATTTGTGTATCTGTGTATATGTGTGTTTCCATATATACGTGTGTGTGTGTGTGTGTATGTGTGGATGTATATATGTGTGTGTGTAGATGTGTATATACGTGTGTATATATTTGTGTGTTTACATGTGTATATGTATATTGTGTCTATATGTGTGCTTGTCTATATGCATATTTGTGTTTATATATGTGTGCATGTATGTGTGCATGTGTATATGTATATAATGTATGTGTGTGTATTTGTGTGTGCTTGGGTGTATATATACGTATGTGTATGTATGTGTGCGCGTATATATATATATATGGTGTATTTTGGAGTTTTTAAAGCTCGTTCTGCTGGGGTTTTTTTTTGTATTTTTATAGGTGATGAAAACTCATTGGACTGTTAGGTGTATTGAGACAAAATTTGGTGTCGATTCGTCTAGTGGTTTCTGAGTTCTGTTAATCCCACAAACGAACATTACATTTTTATTTATATTATACTAATAATATTACAATATAATTGTATAATACAATATAGTAATATTTAATACTGATATTGCACTATGCAAATAATAAAATATATTGTATGTGTATATATATCTTATAAGCCGCTCTGAGTCCTCTTCGGGGTAAGAAGGGCACATGTAAATGTCGCAAATAAATAAATAAATCTGGATCGGATTCAGTCCTCAAGATCATAACAATGCAATATTGTGATATTCCAGAATTCACAAAGAAAGCCCCCCCGGAAGGCTTTTCCCAAGTGCACATAGGACTCCAAATTCACACACACACCCCATCCCTTAAGGTAGCATTTGAGTGCATCTACACTGTAGAATTAATGCATTTTGACACTGCCTTATCTGCCATGGCTTAATGCAATGGAGTTCTGAGGTTCATAGTTTGGTGAGACACCAGCACTCTATGGCAGAGAAGGCTAAAAAGAACTTGTGAAACTACAATTCCCCTGATGGAACTGAGGCAGTTGAAGTGTTGTCAAACTGCATTAATTCTACAGTGTAGAGATAATAATAACAATATTCCTAACCCACCTCTCTTCCCAAGCAGATTCAGGGCAGCTTCCTGTCCTGAGTTGCCCTTCAAAATAGCCTTTAGACAATGTTGAAAGTAAAAGAAAAATGCTTTACTTCAGTAAACACAAAGGATAAGCAAATGCAATTGAAAAGTGCAAAGGAAAACAAGGAAGTCTTAATCCAGACACAAATTAAAGTCCCAAAAGAAACACCAGTCTTCCATCAGACAACGGACGATGAACTAAATTCTTAGCAGCAGACACAAAGCAGATTCCATTGGAGTGAAAACAGCAGTAACAGGGTTGTTGTTACCAGCAAAAGCTGACTGCTCCTGATTTGTAGCCCTGAATTCTCCATGCAGGAGGTGCTAGGGCGTCTCCCAATTAGCTCAGCGTTTTTAGCAGCTGTCCTAGCTGAATGCTGTCTGTGCTCTCTCTTTTTGTCTCTCTAGAAATGTGGACGCTTTCAAACCCTCATCATCTGATTCTTCTTCTCCCTCCAATTTCTGAGCACTTCCTTGCTCCCCTTCCTCCTCCGAAGATGAGGAATCCCTAACACTTCCAAAACAAGGCAGACATTCAATGTCCCATACAATCTATTTAAATAAAAATGTAATGTTCATTTGTGAGATTAACATAACTCAAAAAGCATTGGACGAATTGACACCAAATTTGGACACAATACACCTATCAGGCCGACAAGTGACCATCATTCATAAAAACACTGAAAAACACAACAGATGGGACATATGTCTTGGTCATTGATGTTGCTTTATAATTTATTGAGTTGCTCTTGATTTGTTTATTGATTTGTTTACATATTACTGTCAGCATTATTTATTATTTATTTATTTGGGGTTCTTCTACCCCGCCCTTCTCACCCCGAAGGGGACTCAGGGCGGCTTACAGAGGCAAAGGCACAATTCGATGCCTGCATCATAAAACAATCATACACAAAATTACATCAATTCGCAATTAATAACAGTTCATGCATTATAACCATAAAATCAATAAAATCAAATACAAACCCAATTTCTCCTCTTACATGGTCAGCGTTCGCTAACTCATAGATCTAGTTTTACGTTCTACTTCATCAATCCTGTTGGTCTTACTCGCCTGATTGTCTGATTTAATTGCCAGAGTGCCCAAAGGCCTGGTCCCATAACCACGTCTTCACCCTCCTCCTGAAGGCGAGGAGGGATGATGATGCCCTGATTTCCCCTGGGAGTGAGTTCCACAGGTGAGGGGCCACCACTGAGAAAGCCCTGCTCCTCGTCCCCACCAGCCTCACTTGTGACAGTGGTGGGGTCGAGAGCAGGGCCTCCCCAGATGATCTCAAACTCCGGGGTGGGACGTAGAGGGAGATACGTTCGGACAGATACACTGGACCGGAACCGTACAGGGTTTTGTAGGTCAAAACCAGCACCTTGAATTGTGCTCGGAACTGAATCGGCAGCCAGTGGAGCTGGCACAGCAGGGGGGTGGTATGCTCCCTGTATGTCGCTCCGGTGAGCAGTCTGGCTGCCGCTCGCTGGACTAGTTGAAGTTTCCGAACAGTCTTCAAGGGCAACCCCACGTAGAGCGTTGCAGTAGTCTATTCGGGATGTAACAAGAGCGTGGACCACCGTGGCCAGATCAGACTTCCCGAGGTACGGGCGCAACTCGTGCACAAGTTTTAGTTGTGCAAAAGCTCTCCCAGCCACCGCTGAGACCTGGGGTTCCAGGCTCAGCGATGAGTCCAGGATCACTCCCAAGCTGCGAACCTGCGTCTTCAGGGGGAGTGTAACCCCA